CGCCGCCAGCCAGCAGGACCTCGTGGCCTCGCTCGACCTGTTGCACCAATTCCCCCTCCTGCTGCCCCCGCCGCCCGCAGCCTCGGCCGCCGCAGCCCGCCTCTCCCCATCCCTCATGGGAGTCCCTCCTCCCAGCCCACGCGCAGGCTCCGCTCTGGGCGCTATGTCCCCCCTCCCCAGCCCCGCCGTCGGTTTTCACAGCAACCCTCCTGGTGCTACCCCTCCAGAGTCCTCCACTTCTTCGGACAATGCCGGGAGCTTGCGCGACCTCATCGTCGACGTCTGCACTGCGCGTAACTTATTGCCCCCCTCCGAGACGGATCCTGTTGATCCCCCTCCCGCGGAGCCCCCCCCCGGCCGCTGGAGGTCGGGCAAGGGCCCCTGGGAGCAGCTGATGGCGGGAGCGCCCCTGACAGCGTCCCTGCGCGCCGCCATCCTGGCGAGCCCGGCCAGCCGGCAGGACCAGCTGGAGCGCGTGTACCACATCGCCGTGGCGGGGACCGACGTGGACGAGCAGGCCGCGGCCGCCAGCACGTTGTGCGGGGCGTCGCTTGTGCGGGGGTGGGCCATCCAGGTGGGGGGCCCCCCAGATTTGCATTAGCTAGGGAGGAATGATGAGAAAGAGTGGCGCTGGTTTGCTGCCACAGACTGCAGGGCTCGGGTAATTTGCCTCTTGAACCTCTCTGGCTCTCCGGCTCTGGCTCTCTGGCTCTCTTCTTGGCGACGTTGCGAGCAGAGCAGAAAGAGTAATCGGGTGTGAATGCAACTGCAACATTCATACGTCTCGTGACATGTTGTACTTCCCGGCGATCTCCGATACCCTCTGCACATCGTCTGGCGTCGGCTCGCCTCGTCTGACCTCCGCCTCCTGCCCGTCACTGCAGGAGCACGCTGTCCGGCTGTCGGTCCAGGTGCTGACCCCGCCGCGGCGCGAGGAGCCGAACCGGCCTGAGAGCGCCAGCCTGACGTCCCCCTTCCGCTACCTGGTCAACTTCGCGCCCATGCTGTTTGCGGCGCTGGCCGCGCTGTCGCAGGCGGACACGCTCGAGATTGTGCGCCTGCACGGGCAGCTGCCGCACCTGGCGGCCGCGCTGCTGCCCATCTGCGACGTGTTTGGCGACATGCCCGCGGGGTCGCCCTCCTCCGCCGACACTGCCGACGACCTCCTCATGTACTCCATCTTCTCGCAGGCCTTCCTCCTGCTGGTGAGCGCGCACACCCACTGCCGGAGTCGGCCCTGCACTTTGTTGTTAGGCACATGTTCTGCGTTTAGGACCCAGATTGGGAGAGGCTGAAGATTGCGGGGTAGTCTACTGGGGCTCCGATCATTTTCTCGTTCGCAGCATAGGCTCGGGTGTGTCCTTGATGAACGCTTCGAAGCCCACCAAAAATCCACGGTGGAAATGAACTGACAGCTCCTTCCAGACGTTGCGATCGGTGTTCGTATTCCATGAACGGGGCTCCTCTTCTTGAGCTGATACCCCCCTTTCCCCTGTGCAGACCCGCATCCTGGAGACGTTCGCTCCCCCGTTGAGCGCGCCCGAGTCGCAGAGTGGCCTCACGCTGCCGGCCCTGCTGGACCTGGCCGGTGCCACTCCCAGCCCCGTCCTCCCCGCGCCCACGCTCTCGCAGTTCCCGCGCGTGGCCGCCTGGTACCGCCAGCACCAGGGCTTCTCCCGCCCCACCCTGGGCGACGCGTGGCAACCCCGCGCCACGGAGCAGCTGCTGCGCATGCTGTTCCCGGCTGACCGCTCCGCCGGTGCGCAGCCCGTGCTGGCCTCCGCGTGGGACGTCATTGCGGCCGCGCCCGAGCTGGGGCAGGCGCTGCTGGCCGCGTGCGCCAGCAACAGGCTGCCCGCCAAGGACCTCGCGCAAGGTCAGTGCTCATCGTACGGCTCGACGATACCGGCGTCGCTGCAGGAGCGTCCTTTTGCTCCCTGACCGACCTCTATGCCAGCAATCTCATGTCACCTGTCCGACGTCTGAGAAACCTGCCTCGGATGACTTGTCTCAAGCGGGCCCCCAGTCTGATTCGGTCCCCGCCTCGGTGCCAGGCCTGCGCAGCCTGCTGGTGTACCTGCCCGCGGCGGCGGTCCCCCTCGCGCGCTTCTTCACTGCGGAGGTGGTGCGCGGGGCGTGGCCTGCGGCCGTGCTGAACGGCACCGAGTGGCCCAGCCCCGCCAGCCGCCTGCCCGCCATGGAGGCCGACATCACCGCGCTGCTGCGCCAGGCCGCCGTGGGGGGGCCGGCCGAGGCGGGAGACACGGCAACTGTCGCGTCGTGGGGCAATGCCGTCCCCTCGCTGCCACTGCCCCTCGCGGCCGGCCTCAGCCTCGTGCTGGCAAGCACAGTGAGTTTTTGAATCATCGCACTCCTGCCTTTTGTTGAATAATACTCAATCTTTCCTTGGGTCCTGTGTCAATTTTCAAAAGAACGGCTTCTCTATTGGGTTCCCTAATTTGTCGTCGTTGAGAAGAATCTTCAGCCGCAGGTCTGTTGGCGAGTCTCCTGTCCTTCGCTCCCTGTACTCTCTCCTTGCGTTGCCTGTCTGCGAGCCTGCTCTCCTCACCGCCCCCCTGCCCCCCTCCCTGCCTGTGCAGAGCGACATGAGCCACGCGGTGGCCTCCGCCCTAGTGGTGCCCCTCCTACGGTGCGCCGCAGGCCAGCCGTGGCCCACCCTCGCGGTCGTTGCCGCCCTGGTGGCCCCCGTGCTGCGCCAGGGCGCCAAGCAGCTGCCGCCCACCGCGGCTGCGCTCTGGTGCGGCGCCAGTTCGGCGCGCATTGCCAAGGTGAGCCGCACCCGGCCCACCGGCTCGTCGCCTGGGCAGGCGGAGCCATGTCAATTCTCTCACAATCACACGACGATTTGGCCTGTTGAGCAGGCTGCAGCCGATCATATGCACCCAGGCTCGTAGTCTCCGTCCCTATGCGGAGAGCTCTTTGCTTACGCCTCCTGGGTGCGTGCCAGGTGCTGGAGACCTGCTTTCGCACTGCGTTGCACCCTACGCTGGAGCGGCCCTCTGGCATCACGTCCTTTCTGGGCGAGTCCCGCCTCTTTGGTTCGCGCGGCCCCACCGCCCTTCCCCCCGGGGCCATGTACATCCGTGCCGTGCCGCACTGCTCGGGAGCGGCAGCAATTGCATCCGCGATCGCGGCGCACGTGCTGGCCCAGGCGAGCGGCCGCAGCGGGGCCTCGGGTCCCGGTCGCGAGAGCCGGGGCGCCCCGGAGGGGGTGTCGCTCGCGGCCAAGCGGTTGCGGTGCCGGCACGACCCGCTGCGGGAGGCGGTGCCCACGCTGACGCAGGCGGCCAGCCTGGGCGCGGCGCTGCTGGCCATGGCGGGGAGAGACGCGGTGAGGGCGCTCTTCGTGACGGCGCTGCCCCCCCTGCTGACGGAGACAGCGGGCTCCTCCGATCGGAAGGGGGGCTTCCGCCCGTACGCTCTGGCTCGGCTAGCGGTGTTGGGGGGTCTGCTTGCCTGGGGGCAATCTCCGGGGCAGCTAGACAGGCAGGCCTTGGAAGAGCACGTCGAGTTTCTGGTCGGGTCGGGAACGCAGCTCTCGCCATGGTCAACGGCCAGCCTGGGGCGGGCGTATGTCGTCGCGTTTACGTCCTTCATGGTGGGGTACGCTCCGGCGTGGCTGTCAGAGCTGGGAAATCAGAGCTTGATGAAACTGAGCAGGTTTCTCGCAGATATAGGATCAAGAGACTTAGCTTTGGCAGTCTTAGACTGCGGCAGCTGGCCAAATGCAGCGGCATCTGTCGAGCTCGTCATCGGATGAAGGTATCAGCATCTCGTCAACGAGTGTGGTCTGCCAAAGGTTTGGCCGCATCACGACCTCCAAAAGACGCATGTTAGCACGAAGTCATACGTAAATAGGGGAGAAGGTCTAGGATCATTCTACATAATCGAAAAGCTTGTGCAGGTACAGTCACTTAAGATGCGAAGAAAAACTTTTAAGTCTTCATGCACGTTGATGTGGTTTAGGTACGTGCATGAACCATGTGGAGATGGACTGACTTGGAAAAGGATTGTACGTCGTCTTTTTAGGGTGCAATTACGACAACATACGTAACTGCAAGCATATCTGGAGGCCGCGCAACGCGTCACATAGAAGCTTGACATCTGGTGCATATGTTTGCAGACATTCCTGATCACGTTTGTTTATACCGTTGCATTGTTGGACAGCATGGCTTGTTTGCAGCGGCCTTGACTCAATCAGGACTCGATCTTGCGCGCATGACAATGTTGATTGATCAATCCGCGCACACATCCTTACGAGGGCAGGCCTACAATCAACCAACCGAAGTGTACCTGAGAAAAAGGAATATTCAATCATGCATGAAAGTAAAATGAGAAATATGGCTCTCCTTAAATTGGCTGGTCAAGATCATACCCGACCCTTCACGGAAGAAACTCGTATATGGAGCTCGGGAAAAAACAACTATTGAGGATGCCATACAAAGACGTCGCCATGTGTTTGGCCACGTGGTGTGTAGACTCGTAGCTACGACTTCAAGCTAGTGGCGCTAGATATATGCAAGCTATTCAAATTACACTCGCAATCCATCTTTGTCTCAACGTCTGCTCGGTCCTTAGAACTTTCTTCAACTGGCCACCTTTTGACTCAACCCCTCCACTTCTTCATCCTCGCTCGCCGCGGTGGATACCGTCACGAGACTCGGCTGCCCCGCGCTCTCGAAACGGTCCCGGAACACCTTGACCAGCGACCTGCCCTCGTACACCGCCTCCCAGAGCATAGTGCAGTACTGCACCGACAGACTACACAACGATACCACGATGGACTGCACGAAAATGCGCTGGTCGATGTAGATGCGGGTCGCCCTCGAGCTCCCTACTATGTACAGTCCGGTCTGGAACAGCGCCTGGGGCAGCGACTCTAGAAGCAGCTCGACCAACACCCGGGACTCGTGATAGTGCTCGAACACGACAATCTGGTCCCCGGTCGCCAGATGAAGCCCGAACCTCTCCGCCACGGACAGCAGGTCCTGGACGAGCACGCCCAAGAGGCCCAGGGGCAGCAGTAGGATCGCCCAAACCTCGGCGCGCGGGGACCACCCGTCCGAGGTCCTCGGCTGCCAATCGTCCAGAGTTGGCAGGGGCCACAGCCATCTCGCCCGCAAACCCTTCAACCCGCGCACTGGACTCACGGTCGACGACCAAGCCTTAGCCACCGCGTAAGACCCCCAAACGAACGGCGCACAGACCGACGCCAACACCACCCACATTGGCCACGCCCCCCAAACCTCGCTCAGCACCAGGAGGTCGGTGACAACGTCCACCACGGGTAGAACGCCCAATGCAGCTCCCCAAAGGTAGAGCGCCCAACGATTGAAGCTGCGCACGTGAGCGCACAGATTATGAATCCCTTTCTAACATTAAAAATGATATTGTGGTGTGCCAGAGATCACCAGATTGTTGAAGTCTTGGAAGTCGGGCAAGAGGAGAGACGTGTTCGATCTCCAGCCACCACCCAAACGACTTACCCAAGGCGGCTCCCATCTACCGTCTCGAGACCACCACCCCGGTTTCGACGGCGCCAGCGGGCCACCACGACGACGGAAATGGTCCCCACCAGCAAGAGGACGGCGAATACCCCAAAGACGAGCGCCGTGACCGCCTTCGCCTCGGGGTTGCCGCAGAGATTGCCCGCCTGGACCCTCGAAAACCCGACCCCCGTGTACGCCCTCCCCTCGCGCCCCAGGTCGATCATGTCCACGAAGTCCGGGTCCGCCAAGGTGTAGTTCCCGTGCGCGTTACTGAGAACGCCCAGAAACTCGTTTGCCCTGTACAGCGGGAAGGGAATGTCCCCCGAGAGGAACACCGATATCCGACTCAAGCACACCTTTCTACGCCGTGCTCGCGACGACCAATCTGGCCCCTAGTCCGTGGAGGACGAACGG